AATAATCCTGATTATGATTTTTTCCAAAATCGAGCAGCCCTAACAGGTGCCGTCGCCCCTCCTATGCAATCCTCAAAGCTGTCATATAGCAGTGCGTGACTGTCAGCTGACGCGCTCCATACTGATGAACAGAACTTCCTGAACAGATTCTGTACTCGTGATTTGATGTGAAGCAAAAGTCTGACTTTTAGGTGTGTGTTTAAACAGACATATACACATAATAAATACTCATATCTACAGATGTCCATCTTGGCGTTTTTTTTCCAAACACAACTAATTTCATCCTAAATGAGCATAAACAGTCAGGAGAGCAGTCAAATGCTTCATTATAATGTTAGCTGTGTGCATTTTTAAAGTCACACCTCTTATTAAATGTAATCTAAAAACTAAATAAATCTAAATAAATCATCCATTCGCTGCGCTTTAATCAGAATGTGTGAGTTATACAGTGGAGAAACGGCTCATGAGATCTGATGAATGAATCTATTTCATTATAACAGCTGTTAATTTAATTAAGCTGAACCTGTTTGTTAATGCATTTGCTGCTAATGTATGTATTTATTCATTGGTAAAAAATAATATTAAAATATATTACTGACCATTTAACTGTTTATTCACAAGGAAACAGCTCCTAATGAACATATTTAGTCATTTCGGGATTTTTTTAAAGGGGGTGTCTCTTATCACGGTGGGCAGATCCCTTATTTTCACATCCCAATGTTGACAGATATGCTCACACCAGCATCATCTCACATGCCATTATCAAAACACACACACACACATTATCCCTATCATCATCTCACTCACACACACACACACACACACACACACACACATTTACACATCATCATCATCATGAAATGTGTTTCTTCAATCCCTCTTGTAGTGTGTCAGCAGGACTCCTGCTCATATATACAGGTGAAGTGAGGAGCAGCTCTAGTTTAATGACTGCAGACTCTAATGAATATATGATGGTCCCAGTAGAGCAGGGGTGTCCAAACTCAGTTCTGGAGGGTCTGTGTCCTGCTGACTTTATCTTCAACACACCTGCCTGGAAGTTTCTAGTTTAACTAGTAAGAGCTTGATCTGCTGGCTCAGATTTGTCTGCTTAGGGTTGGAGCGAGTCCAGTCCAGGACCGAGTGTGGACCCCCAGACAGTGCTGTGCATGTGATAACCCCAGTGTACTGACTCTACTCATGGTCACGTGCTGCTGTAGTGTTCAGTGTTCGCCTGTTGCTCTGTGAGTGTGTGTAAACTGCTGAATCGCGTCACTCACTGTCGGTCCTTGTCGTCGAACATCAGCACACATTTGCCGTGTTTCCGCTTCCCTCCGCCTTTACCCTTCGATCCCTGCTGTAATCGGTCGCTTTTCCCCATTCTCGGCGGCTTTCAAACACACGTGCGGACAACACTGAACTACTTCCGCTTCTGGGAGCCCCGGAAGTGCCAAAATAAGAGTCCTCCAGCGTACGCTGAAAAATATTGACGGAAACCCATTTTAGATCAGCCATGAACACTCACACATGATAAATGACAGACGTAAGACACAGATAAGAGCGAAAAGGTCCAGATTATAGCATACAAGATAAATAAACAGCAAAAAGTATGAGATAAACAGTGGAATATCTGACTTAATAAGAAGTTCTTTGGTTTATAAACTGTTTTAATAATTTTATCCTTTGGTGTTTTAATTTTCCTGTCTCTTCCCAGCTTAAAAATCCAGCTTTAACCAGTCTAGGCTGGTTGGCTGGTTTTAGCTGGTCGACCAGGCTGGTTTTAGAGGGGTTTTGGCCGATTCCAAACTGGTTTCTAAAACCAGCTTAAACAGGCTAGCCAGGCTGGGAGCCAGCTATGTCCAGCTTAAACCAGGCTAGGCTGGTCAAGTTGGTTTAAACTGGTCATTTTCCAGCCTGACCAGCTAAGACCAGGCTAGAAATGGCTAGAAACCAGTTTGGAAATGGCTAAAACCCCTCTAAAACCAGCCTGTTCGACCAGCTAAAACCAGCCAACCAGCCTAGACTGGTTTAAGCTGGATTTTTCAGCAGGGTTTTATTCCTGTTTATGTCAAGCATTTTGAATTACCGTCGTGTATGAAATGTGCTATAGAAATAAACTTGTCTTGGACACAACACAGCTAGCATGCTAATTAACCCTGAATACATGATTTTACTGTGTTATTAAACTCTGGCCTTGATGGAAATAAACCTGCTGCCAATAAATACGCTGATTTAGTGTACTGCAGGTGTTTGACAAATGAAAAATCAGCATTTGATATGTGATTGTCTTTATTGTGTGTGTGTTGATTTGGCATAGAGGATGTGCAAGTATATCATAAATAAAAATAAACTTTACTGGGGAAAAATCAACAAAATACAGAAAACCGCCACTGCTGTGTGGACAGACAGAAGAGCTGGTCAATTTATTAATCATCTGCCATTTATTAATGTTAGATATCCCTGCTGAAAAATCCAGCTTAAACCAGTTTAGGCTGGTTGGCTGGTTTTAGCTGGTCAACTAGCCTGGTATTAGAGGGGTTTTGGCCATTTCCAGGCTGGTTTCTAGTCATTTCCAGCCTAGTCTTAGCTGGTAAGGCTGAAAAGTGACCAGCTAAAACCATCTAAAACCAGTTTGACCAGCCTGGTTTAAGCTGGACATAGCTGGTTTTGGCTGGGCTCCTAGCCTGGCTAGGCTGGTCAAGCTGGTTTTAGCTGGTCAGGCTGGGAGAAGACCAGCTAAAACCAGCCTGGAAGTGGCCAAAACCACTCTAAAACCAGACTGGTCGACCAGCTAAAACCAGCCAACCAGCCTAGGCTGGTTTAAGCTGGATTTTTCAGCAGGGATATTATACATCAGCACTGTGTTAGACATTATATTTAGCGGTGCAGGGCTGAAATACTGACAGATTATATGTATGTAAATCAGCGCTGTGTGTTAAACTAAAGTTTAAAGTGATGTAAAGTAGATCAGTGGTGCAGATATTGATGTTTCACAGTGTTTTACACTGCATTATTTGAATCTACCAAGCTTAGTTTACAATCTGTTTACAATCTCAATCCCAAATATCATATTGTTCAGATTTAATGAAAGTCAGTTTTAATGTTATTGATTACTTTCACCTGACAGATTTTATTCATTAATTTCCGCTGGTTTATCAGGGGTTGCCACAGTGGAATGAACCACCTCTTACTCGACAGATTTCTGTGTTTTTAATTTCAGCTGGTGTGTGTAATGTGCTTTATTGTTGGTAAAATAATGTGTAATGGCATCTTCAGTGATTGTTCAGCTAATTTCACTGTCTTGTTCCAGTAGCTGCATTTAGAGGTTTTTGCAAAAAAAAGCAGACGTGGATTCAGCTGGTTTTGATGCTAAAGAAAGCTTACCTTGTTAAAAACCAAAGAGTTGTCTAAAGTGACATTTATGAAAAAGGTATTTTATTCACCAGCTAATAACCTCATCATTCATTCATTTTCTTTTCGGCCTAGTCCCTTAATTAATACGGGGTCACCACAGCAGAATGAACCGCCAACTCATCCAGCACGCTTTTACGCACCAGATGCCCTTCCAGCTCTTTCCGCCCTGCACAACAGCTCATCAAACTGGACTCGACTCAGTCGGAAGCACCGCTGAAAGCCTCCATCATCCTGCGATAGTTTCTAGAGGAGTTGATGAGCTCACAGAGCTGCTGCACCTCTGGAAGATCTAGTGGACTCAGACACAGCTCCAAACTTATCAACGCTGTTTTTCAGCCTTCCTAAAGCACAAAGCACAGCTACCATGTTAGCCATTTAGCAGCAATGCTAGAGTCACCAGGGAGACGGAAGCCCCGCCCATGATGCAGATCTACTCTGAAGTGAATTGGACGCGTGAATGAAGTGTGTAAACTCAATTTTTCATATTTACGTGCAAATTTATTTGCGCATGCCACACATAATGTCGCTCAGCTTTTCTATAATTATCTATTCAGCTGTAGTTTTATATTTATGATGAGAAAAATGTTTTTGTTTTGTCAAGGACTAAATTTGCAGTCTCTGACGCCATCCTGTGGTGGAACAATGTAATGTCAAATGTCAATTTCTTTGCTCAATGGGGTAAATGCCGAGCTAGTGTTGATCCCATACTGATAAACATCCGGCGACCTGTTATTGTGAGTTTTTTACATTTACATTTTACATCTTATACAGTTCCTTTTACAGTTGCGATGTTGTAATGTAATTAAGATACAATCAATTCAATAAACTTCGGCATTCATTTAGTTGCTCAAGCGTAAAACGAGACAGAAAGCCGTTTACTCGCACCATCAGAATCGGCAGGCTAGCGCAGAAGCTCCATTAAATATACTGAGGTAAAATAAATGCACATATTATAAAGACATGGCGGGGAAATGTAATGTAAAGCAGTGTACAATCTGAGACACACTTTACATCAGATCCCTGCTGAAAAATCCAGCTTAAACCAGCCTAGGCTGGTTTTAGCTGGTCGACCAGGCTGGTTTTAGAGGGGTTTTGGCCACTTCCAGGCTGGTTTCCAGCCATTTCCAGCCTGGTTTTAGCTGGTCAGGCTGGGAGATGACCAGCTAAAACCAACTTGACCAGCCTAGCCAAGCTGGGAGCCCAGCCAAAACCAGCTATGTCCAGCTTAAACCAGGCTGGTCAAGCTGGTTTTAGATGGTTTTAGCTGGTCACTTTCCAGCCTGACCAGCTAAGACCAAGCTGGAAATCACTAGAAACCAGCCTGGAAGTGGCCAAAACCCCTCTAAAACCAGGTTAGTCGACCAGCTAAAACCAGCCAACCAGCCTAAACTGGTTTAAGCTGGATTTTTCAGCAGGGATATCACTCAGCCAGAGGAGATCACTGATATATAAAGAAAACAGACCTTAAACGCGCCGATTTCGCAATAGCATACAGTTCACTGGAAGTGCTTAACCCAGGTTACTAACCACCGGCGCACTGAATCATATTTAAAACATGGGGGTTTGCATGTTCTCCCCGTGTTAGTGTGGATTTCCACTTGTGCTATAGTGGAATGGATGAACTAAACTGGTCGTAGTGGATGAGTGTTTGGATGAGTGTGTTTCCCAGAACTGGAGGGGATCCACTGTGTAAAACATATGCTGGAATAGTTGGCGGTTCATTCCACTGTGGCGACCCTTGATGAATAAAGGGAGTAAGCCGAAGAAAAAGAGATATATTTAATGTATAGGTTGGTGCAGTAGTGAACCAGGCCGCCGCGGGGCGCTGGAGCGCGCAGAGTTCAGGACAGCGACTGCACAGATGCTGATAAACAGCGGACACCCGCGGAAGATTAATCAGACGGAGGAAAAGCCCGTAAAGCGCGGACGGGAGTGAGTGTGTGTGTGTGAGTTGTGCTGTTCAGTGTGTGTGTGTATGTGTTCGGTGTGGAGCAGCGATGGAGCACGGAGTGGATCTGCTGGCCAGAATCTGCAGCGCCTCCGTGGAGAACAAAGCGCTGAGGTGAGAGAAATGACGGATTAATAACCAGAAACATGACGATGATGATGAACACACACACACACACACTCACACACACACACACACACACACACACACACACACACACACACACACACACACTCAAACACACACACACACACACACACACGCACACACACACACTGATGATGTTAATATACACAGTGATGATCTGAGGAGAAACCCTGCAGACCCGAGTGTTGTGTGGAGAGAGACAGAAACACTGTACTGCACTGTTACAGCTCAGATAAACACTGCACTGGGGGAAGTCCCCACAACTGCTCTCTCTCTGTCTCTCTCTGTGTGTGTGTGTGAGGTCTTTCAGTCAGTGTAATATGTGTGTGTGTGTAGTGCAGTCTGTGTATTATAGTGTGTGTAAGTGTATTGTAGTGTGTATATATGTGATGTTTGTGTAAGTGTAGAATGTTTGTGTGTAGTTTGTGAGTGTGTGTGTGTGTGTGTGTGTCCATTTTTCAAAAGGCTTATAAGTCATAAGTAATGTTTGTGTGTGTGTGTGTGATTACACAGCGTCCTCTGTGACACACACTTGTATAATGTCAGTGGTGTGTGACATATATAACTGGAGAAGGTGAGTTATGAGGACATTACCCGTGCGCAGATTAATCATAAGACTCATAAAGTCACACACAGTCAGGGGGTTTATTCCAGAAAGGAAAAATGGAAAGGAGTGTCCCCATAATTCACAAAAACAACCCAGTGTGTGTGTGTGTTTTTTTTTATTTTTGCATGTGTGTGTGTGTTTTGACCTTGCGGGGACATTTTTGTGGTCCCCATGAGGAAGACGGCTCATAAATCATCCAGAATGTGTGTGTGTGTGTGTGTGTGCCTGGTATTCATCAGTGTGTCGACCCCTCAAGTATAGCAAAACCAGTAAATTCTGACCTTGTGGGGACATTCCTTCAGTCCCCATGAGGAAAAGGGCTCATAAATCAGGCGGAATGAAGGACTGAAGATGATGTAAAAGTGCAGACTGGAGGAGGAGAGAACATGCAGTATGTGTGTGTGTGTGTGTGTGTGTGTGTGTGTGTGTTTATACTCTACATGCTGATGTTTTGCAGTATGGATGCGTCTAGAGAAGGAGGATCATTCACTCCGAGTGTTAATGAAGAACACAAACACACACACCTCAGGAGGAAGAAAACTGACGTGAGTGGACGTCAGCTTGTGTGTGTGTGTGTGTGTGTGTGTGTGTTTAATGGAGGATATTCACTAATTATAAAACACTTTAAACACCGCCCATGCTGAGCTGAGAGACAAGCACATCTAGTGCAAATGCATCCATCTAATATAGCGATTGAAAATAAATATGTGATATCCCTGCTGGAAAATCCAGCTTAAACCAGCCTAGGCTTGTTGGCTGGTTTTAGAGGGGTTTTGGCCACTTCCAGGCTGGTTTCCAGCCATTTCCAGCCTGGTCGTAGCTGGTCAGGCTGGGAGATGACCAGCTAAAACCAGCTTGACCAGCCTAGCCAAGCTGGGAGTCCAGCCAAAACCAGCTATATCCAGCTTAAACCAGGCTGGTCATGCTGGTTTTAGCTGGGTTTAGCTGGTCATTTTCCAGCCTGACCAGCTAAGACCAGGCTGGAAATGGCTGGAAACCAGCTTGGAAGTGGCCAAAACCCCTCTAAAACCAGCCTGGTCGACAAGCTAAAACCAGCCAACCAGCCAAGGCTGGTTTAAGCTGGATTTTTCAGCAGGGATGGAAGGTTGTATAATACTGTTATACTATTATAATCATTCTAATGAATAATAAATAAAATAGTCAGATTCTGTTCGGTCGAAGCTTGTGTGTGTTTATATTTAATGTCTTTACATCAGAGAATATTAGAAATTAAACTCATGATTGATCATGCACAATTCAGAAATGATTATTAATTAATTGATTTCTGTCTGCTTCAGGTGGATGGAGCGTCTGCGCAGAACAGTTCTTCCCACAAGGTGCATTACTTCACACTCATCACTATTAATGAATAAACACATGTACAAAATCCGAAACCACTGAAGAGTCCACTTGTTGATGTGCTTTAAGGGTATTTTGATGGTTCGATTAAAGACAGTGACGGTCATAACTGATAAGAGCCTGAGTGAGTGTGTAAGCTCTACAGCAGGGGTCACCAATCTCGGTCCTGGAGGTCCGGTGTCCCTGCAGGGTTTAGCTCCAACTTGCTTTAACACACCTGCCTGGGTGTTTCAGGTATACCTAGCAAGAGCTTGATCAGCTTGTCCAGGTGTGTTTGATTAGGATTAGAGCTAAGATCAGCAGGACACCGGCCCTCCAGGAACAGGTTTGGTGACCCCTGCCCTACATCATGTGCTTTATTTGTTTATTTATTCTCCAGATGAAGGATGCAGATCTTCAGAAGTATTCTGGTGAGCTGTTCGATTCGACGGCAGCGTTCTCGGACGATTATTTCTCGGACAGCACTTCAGACAGCGAGAGCGACGCCAGCCTGACGCCCAACCAGACTATCCTTCAGCTGCTGGACGAGGAGCTGGACGAGGACGAGTCTGCATCTGTCAGTTCTCTGGAGCTGGAGAGCGCAGCGGTGGAGGCGGAGGCGAAACCCGAGCCGGAGAGCGCCGCGTCTGAGACGGAGGAGTGCAGCGTGCCCTCGCCTGGCGGGATCATCGTCAGCGCGTGTCAGAAGCGAGATGGTGGCCGAGTCTACAACAAGAGGCACTACTGCTTATTCTGCTCCAAACCCTACGCCAAGATGGCGCGGCACCTGGAGAGCTCGCACGCCAACAAACCCGAGGTGGAGACGGCGCTCAGCTTCCCTAAGGGATCCAAAGAGCGCAAGAAGCAGCTGGACTACATCCGCAACCGCGGGAACTACGCCCACAATGCTGTGGTGATGCAGTGCGGCAGGGGAGAGCTGGTGCCGTCTAAGCGGCCGCCCAGAGACGCGCAGGGAGAGGACTTCATGCACTGTGCCTACTGCCAAGGGCTCTACACTAGGAAGGTGCTATGGAGGCACATGCGCACCTGCGGACTCAAGCCGCAGTCCAGCGCCAGCAGACCGGGCAAGAACCGCGTGCAGTCCATGTGCACCTACACTGGGCCGGTGCCTGCCAACATGAGCCAGCAGCTGTGGGCTGTGATCAGCGCCATGAACCCCGGCCCCGTCACCGAGATCATCCGCAAGGATCGCGTGATCGTCAAGATCGGCCAGCACCTGCTCAACAAAGGAGGAGTATCGGCGCAGAACAAGCAGTACGTGCGGGATAAGATGCGGGAGCTGGGAAGGCTGGTTCACAACGCTCGGAAGACCACCTCCATCAAAACACTGCAGGACTGCCTCAATCCTCGTAAGTTCACGGAGACCATCGAAGCGGTGAAGAGCACCTGCGGGTTCGAGAGCGAGAGCGGGAGTTTCCGGCTGCCGTCTCTGGCTAGGAAGCTGGGCATCTCCCTGCTGAAGGTGAGCAAGCTGCTGAAGGCGCAGGGCCTGATCTCCAGCCGCCGGCAGCAGGTGCGCTCGGCCTCCGAGTTCCAGGAGCTGCACCGGGCACAGTGGGGGCAGCTGATCTCCAGGGCGGCGCTGCGGAGCTCTCGATCGCAGGGCCGCAGCCCACCGCTGCTCATGGCCTTCGTGGAGGACGTGCAGAAGATGCACACACACCTGCGGGGCGCAGCAGAGCGCTGGAGTGCGGATCTGGCACAGCAGCCCTCAGGGAAGGCCTGGACGGAGCTGGCGAAGGTGTGTCTGGCGCAGATGATGCTACTGAACCGACGGCGCGAGGGAGCCGTGTCCAGCATGCCCATCTCTGCCTATCTGTCCAGAGACTCCGACCCGATGCTGTGTGTCAACTGGACACACTCCGAGGTAGAGAACAGGCTCTGGAGCAGCCTTGGGTGAGTCCACAAACCGTGAGTTGTTGAAGTTATTGACTGTATTTAAGGCAAGCACATCATGAGTAACTGATTAAAATACCCTAATTTGAGGTTAACTGATTACTAATGACATTATTTAAACTGCTTTACACCTCACGGCCTGCAGGAGCTTCACCAGGATCATCACCAGGGGGCGCTGTGGTCGCCCGGTCCCAGTTCTCCTCAATCCCAGCATGCAGTTCGCTCTGGATCTGCTGGTGCACCACAGAGAGGAATGCGGCGTTCCCAAAGACAACAGCTACATGTTCGCTAGACCGGCCGCCATGACGCACTTCCGCGGCTCCGACTGTCTGCGCGGATTTGCTAGAAGCTGCGGCGCAGCAAGCCCGGAGAGCCTGACGTCTGGAGGCCTGAGGAACCACACGGGGGCGCTGCTGAGTGTCATGGACCTGACCGACAGACAGATGCAGGAGCTGCAGAACGCACTCGGCCTGCAGAACACACTGCAGCCGACTGCTAACAGAACACTGGAGCTCGCTCGCATTAGCAAACTCCTGCTAGCACTGCAACAGGGGCGATTAGCGGAGTACTACGGCAGGAGCCTGGAGGAGATCCGGGTTGAGCCGGACGGTGGGTTATATACACACATACACTATAGACGAGTCTCTTGATTATTACGCCATAACGAAAGTTTAGTTCCTCGCCATATCGGCCTGGAAGATAGAAACTATTACATTCAATCGATCTTACTACATGATGTAAATACAGAGGAGACTAGCTTAAAATAAACGCTGATTGGTGAAGTTTGTTGTGTTCCTCCACAGAAAAGGTTGTGGTGTGGGACGAGGAGCGCAGGAGCACACAGGAGGACCTCCGCTCTCCCACCGTCATTGGTGTGTATTTCTGTCTAATCATGTGTACCGAGGGTTTATTACGCTCCTCTGGTCCTCGTCAAGGGTTAAGGTCATTGCACAGCAAGTCTGAAATTTTCATGTGACATCATGAGGTCAAGTATTTTTTATTTTTAGCATTTATTTATTAGCGTTAACGATGTTCCTCCTAGCATTGTGTTAATCAACGATGTTCCTCTTAATATTGCGTTAATAGCGTTAACAATGTTCCTCCTATTATTGCGTTAATGTTGTTAACGATGTTCCTCCTATTATTGCGTTAATGTTGTTAACGATGGTCCTCCTATTATAGCGTTAATAATGTTCCTCCTATTATTGCGTTAATGTTGTTAACGATGTTCCTCCTATTATTGCGTTAATGTTGTTAACGATGGTCCTCCTATTATTGCGTTAATAGCGTTAATAATGTTCCTCCTATTATTGCGTTAATGTTGTTAACAATGTTCCTCCTATTATTGCGTTAATGTTGTTAACGATGTTCCTCCTATTATTGCGTTAATGTTGTTAATGATGTTCCTCCTATTATTGCGTTAATGTTGTTAACAATGTTCCTCCTATTATTGCGTTAATGTTGTTAACGATGGTCCTCCTATTATTGCGTTAATAGCATTAATAATGTTCCTCCTATTATTGCGTTAATGTTGTTAACGATGGTCCTCCTATTATTGCGTTAATGTTGTTAACAATGTTCCTCCTATTATTGCGTTAATGTTGTTAACGATGTTCCTCCTATTATTGCGTTAATGTTGTTAATGATGTTCCTTTATTATGTTAATAGCATTAATGATGTTTCTCCTAGTATTGTTAGCGTTAATGATGTTCTTCCTTATATTGCGCTAATGGCGTTAATGACCAAGATGGCGGCGCGTGCACACGCTGCGGCTTCTCTCTCTCCCGACAAAACGGTGTTTTTGTGTTCTTCGTCTTGTACGTCGCAGTGTTTTTGTGCGTCAACGTCACGTTTATCTGTCCGTAACCGCGCATATAGTCGAACATTTCTGCTAGACATCGGTAGAAACAAACTTTTCAAGCTAAACTCCGCGGACACTGAGGAGCTGCAAGATCTCGGCTTGCTCCGGCTTGCTCCGAATGCCTACCCATCCTCCGACCCCCACCTCACCACCTCGCCCACAATGGAGGCGCTTCAAGCGGCGCGAGAGGAAGCAGAAGAGGGGTAAGCGCGGGGGTATCCGAACTAGGCTAGCGGCTAACCCCCACAAACCCGCTATCCCCTCCATCATCCTAGCGAACGTACGCTCGCTAGACAACAAACTGGACTACATCCGTCTACTTCGTTCATCACAGAGGACTGTAAAGGACTGTTGTGTTTTTGTGTTTACGGAAACTTGGCTCAACGACAACGTTCCGGACAGCGCCATTCAGCTCGACCAGCTAACATGCTACAGAGCAGACAGAGCTATCGTCGCGGGAGGTAAGACCCGCGGTGGCGGGCTCTGTGTTTACATCAATGAGTCATGGTGCCGCGATGCCGTTGTAGTCCGCAAACACTGCTCACCACTGGTGGAGTTCATGATTATTAAGTGCCGTCCATTTTATCTACCGAGGGAATACACAGCCATTCTGCTTTTCGCTGTTTACATCCCTCCCAGCTCCAATGCAAACAACAGGAGTGAGGCACTAAATGACCTGTACCTGCACATTAGTGAGCAGCAGACAGGCCACCCCGATGCTTTTCTCATCCTGGCAGGGGACTTTAACCATGCAGACCTTAAGAGTGTGTTTCCAAAAATACAACAACACATAGACTTTCCAACACGGGGCAATAACACACTGGACTTTGTTTACACCACACAGAGAGGAGCTTACAAAGCCTTCCCCCTCCCCCACCTTGGTGCCTCAGACCACTTAACTGTCATGCTAATGCCTGCTTACAGACCGATCGTTAAAGTCACCAAACCGGTTTGCAAGGAGATACAAGTGTGGCCAGAAGGTTCTTCAGAGGCTTTACAAGACTGCTTCAACACCACAGACTGGGATATGTTTAAACAGGCTGCCACTTACAACAACACCACTGACCTCCAGGAGTATGCTGAGACTGTTACAGCCTACATAAACAAATGCACTGAGGATGTAACAGTCACCAAAACCATCACAGTCCGTCCCAATCAGAAGCCATGGCTAACAGGAGAGGTCTTCAACCTCCTGAAGGCTAGGAACACTGCCTTTAGAGCTGGAGATGAGGCGAGCCTAAAGTCAGCTAGAGCCAACCTTTCCCGTGGCATCAGAGAAGCTAAGAGACAGTACTCCAGAGGTATAGCCCATCGCTTTAATGACAGCAGGGACACACGGAGTCTGTGGAGAGGAATACAGTCCATCACAGACTACAAACCCCAACCACAGACATGTGACAGCACCATCCCCCTGCTGAACGAGCTAAACAAATTCTTCGCTCGTTTTGAGGTACAAAACAGCACCATTGCACAGAAGATGCCACCTCCCCCTGGTGACCAGGTGATGACTCTGTCTCCGGACAGTGTGAGGAGGTCTCTCAGCAGGATTAACGCACGCAAAGCTCCGGGCCCTGACAACATCCCAGGTCGTGTACTGAGAGACTGTGCATCAGAACTCACTAATGTCTTCACAGACATTTTTAACATCTCTCTAACCCAGGCTGTTGTCCCCACCTGTTTTAAAGCCACTACCATCATTCCGGTCCCAAAAAACTCATCTCCCTCCTGCTTTAATGACTACCGTCCAATTGCACTGACTCCTATCATCATGAAGTGCTTTGAACGGCTTGTTATGCAGCACATCAAGTCTGTCCTCCCCCCCTCCCTGGACCCGTTTCAATTTGCTTATCGGCCCAACCGCTCGGCTGATGATGCCATCTCCACTGCACTTCACACAGCACTCACACATCTGGACAAAAAAGACTCCTGCGTCCGTATGCTGTTCATAGACTTCAGTTCAGCATTCAACACTATCATCCCCCAACAGCTCTCTCAAAAACTGCTCCAGCTGGGGCTGAACACCTCTCTGTGTAACTGGCTGCTGGATTTTCTCACTGGAAGACCACAAGCAGTACGGGCCGGCAGTAACACATCGAGCACCATCACTTTAAACACTGGGGCCCCTCAGGGATGTGTTCTGAGCCCTATCCTCTTCACCCTGCTCACTCATGACTGTGCACCATCACACAACTCCAATCTGTTCATCAAGTTTGCGGATGACACAACTGTGGTGGGTCTCATCAACAAAAACGATGAGGAAAACTACAGAAGTGAGGTGAGCCGTCTGGCCGAGTGGTGCAGAGACAACAATCTCTTTTTGAATGTGGAGAAGACGAAAGAGATTGTTGTTGACTTCAGGAAAGAGCACACTCTCCATGCTCCCCTGACCATCAACGGTGCGACTGTGGAGCGTGTGAGCAGCACCAAGTTCCTGGGTGTACACATCACTGAGGATCTCTCCTGGACCAAAAACTCCACTGCACTGGCCAAAAAATCACAGCAGCGTCTCTACTTCCTCCGCAAACTCAAAAGAGCAAGAGCACCAGCCCCAATCATGTACACCTTCTACAGAGGCACTATTGAGAGCATCCTGACCAGCTGCATCACTGTGTGGTTTGGAACCTGCAATGCATCCTGCAGGAAAACACTTCAACGCATAGTGAGAACAGCTGAGAAGATCATTGGTGTCTCTCTCCCCTCCCTTCAGGACATTTACAGCACACGTCTTACCCGTAAAGCCCTCTGCATAACAGCAGATGCCACCCACCCAATGCACAGCTTCTTCAGTCTGCTGCCATCAGGGAGGAGACTGCGCAGTCTCCAGGCCAGGACCAACAGACTGAAAGACAGCTTCATCCATCAGGCTGTCAGGAAGCTGAACTCTCTCCCAGCTCTGCTCCCCGCTCCCTCCCCACGCACCTCCTCCCCTCGCACCTCTGGACTCTGACACACACACACACACACACACACACACACACACACACACACACACACACACACACACACACACATTCATCTGCACTGGTCACTTTATGCAGACACATATACTACCTCCCAATATGTCACTGTCACTCTATCACAATTATCATGTTTACAAGTTCTTTTTGCACTATACTGTTTTTTATCTGCACAACTCTGGTTTACTTTGCACTCATTGCTATATGCCCTTAATGTCACTGTATTGTTTACAATTTTTTTTTTTTTTTTTATATTACATATGTATATTTCTTAGACCACATTTATGTGCAATAATGTATATACTGTAAATTTTCTAAATTTTCTTTTTCTTAAACCCTACTATTTTTTATATATATATTTTATATTAATGTTAAGCACCTTGGGTCTGAGAGTAACGCAATTTCGATTCTCTGTATGTCTTGTACATGTGGCTGAATTGACAATAAAGCTGACTTTGACTTTGACTTGACTTTGACTTAATGATGTTCCTCCTAATATTGCTTTAATAGCATTACCCAAGTTCTTCCTAATTTTGCGTTAATATTTTTAACGATGTCCCTCCTAATATTGTGATAATATTGTTAACAATGTTCCTCCTAATATTGCTTTAATATTGTTAACAATGTTCCTCCTAGTATTGTCAATAGCTACTATTGTGTTAATAGCGGTTACGATGTTTCTCCTAATATTGCTTTGATATTTTTAAGTGTTCCACCTAAAATTGCTTTAATATTGTTAACAATGTTCCTCCTAAAATTGCTAACGATGTTTCTCCTAATATTGCGTTAATATTGTTAACAATGTTCCTCCTAAAATTGCTAACGATGTTCCTCCTAATATTGCGTTAATATTGTTAACGATGTTCCTCCTAATATTGCGTTAATGTTGTTAACGATGTTCCTGCTAATAATATGTTAATATTGTTAACGATGTTCCTCCTAATATTGCGTTAAAATTGTTAATGATATTCCTCCTAATATTGCGTTAATATTGTTAACAATGTTCCTCCTAATATTGCGTTAATATTGTTAACGATGTTCCTCCTAATATTGCGGTAATATTGTTAACGATGTTCCTCCTAATATTGCGTTAATGTTGTAAACGATGTTCCTCCTAATATTGCGTTAATGTTGTTAACGATATTCCTCCTAATATTGCGTTAATATTGTTAACGATGTTCCTCCTAATATTGCATTAATATTGTTAATGATGTTCCTCCTAATATTGCGTTAATGTTGTTAACGATATTTCTCCTATTATTGTGTTAATATTGTTAACAATGTTCCTCCTAATATTGCGTTAATATTGTTAACGATGTTCCTCCTAATATTGCGTTAATATTGTTAACGATGTTCCTCCTAATATTGCGTTAATGTTAACGATATTTCTCCTAATATTGCGTTAATATTGTTAACGATGTTCCTCCTAATATTGCATTAATGTTGTTAACGATATTTCTCCTAATATTGCGTTAATATTGTTAACGATGTTCCTCCTAATATTGTGTTAATATTGTTAACGATGTTCCTCCTAATATTGCGTTAATATTGTTAACGATGTTCCTCCTAATGTTGCGTTAATATTGTTAACGATGTTCCTCCTAATATTGCGTTAATATTGTTAACGATGTTCCTCCTAATATTGTGTTAATATTGTTAACGATGTTCCTCCTAATATTGTGAACGATGTTCCTCCTAATATTGTGTTAATATTGTTAACGATGTTCCTCCTAATATTGCGTTAATATTGTTAACGATGTTCCTCCTAATATTGTGTTAATATTGTTAACGATGTTCCTCCTAATGTTGTGTTAATATTGTTAACGATGTTCCTCCGAGTATTATGTTAATAGCGTACCTCTGTTCTCCCTCAGGTAAGCGTGTGCAGAAGAAGCAGCCGTGGCAGCAGACCGAGGTGCAGGCGGTGGAGCGGCACATGATGAACTTCATCACATCCTGTACGGTTCCCGCTAAGAGCCACTGCGAGAGCTGCTTACAGGCCGAGCCCGAGGCGCTGCGGAACCGGGACTGGAAGAGCCTGAAGTTCTTCATCTATAACCGCATCACAGCCTATAAGAGGAATCTGCAGAGCGCCGGCAGCCTCCAGTCCCTCTGCACAGCGGTCTCTCTACAGGAGCCCTTCCTCAACTCTAGCCTTTACTCTCTGCCAGAAATCCCCACACTGCTGCCCGAGCACTCAGAGCTCAAGACCATCAAACCCATATAGAGTCAGAGCTGGAGATCTTTAAACTCATATAGAGTCATGCCTATAGACTGTCAAACCGCTGTAGAGTTATGACTCAAGATCATCAAATCAATATAGGGTCATGTCTGAAGATGCTCAAGCTGATATATAGTCACGTCTGAAGATCGTCAAACTGATATATAGTCACGTCTGAAGATCGTCAAACCGATATATAGTCACGTCTGAAGATCGTCAAACCGATATATAGTCACGTCTGAAGATCGTCAAACCGATATATAGTCACGTCTGAAGATCGTCAAACCGATAAATAGTCACGTCTGAAGATCGTCAAACCGATATATAGTCACGTCTGAAGATCGTCAAACTGATATATAGTCACGTCTGAAGATCATCAAACGATATATAGTCACGTCTGAAGATCGTCAAACTGATGTATAGTCACGCCTGAAGATCGTCAAACTGATATATAGTCACGTCTGAAGATGGTCAAACTGATATATAGTCACGTCTGAAGATCGTCAAACTGATATATAGTCACGTCTGAAGATCATCTAACCGATATATAGTCACGTCTGAAGATCGTCAAACCGATATATAGTCACGTCTGAAGATCGTCAAACCGATATATAGTCACGTCTGAAGATCGTCAAACCGATAAATAGTCACGTCTGAAGATCGTCAAACCGATATATAGTCACGTCTGAAGATCGTCAAACTGATATATAGTCACGTCTGAAGATCATCAAACGATATATAGTCACGTCTGAAGATCGTCAAACTGATGTATAGTCACGCCTGAAGATCGTCAAACTGATATATAGTCACGTCTGAAGATGGTCAAACTGATATATAGTCACGTCTGAAGATCGTCAAACTGATATATAGTCACGTCTGAAGATCATCTAACCGATATATAGTCACGTCTGAAGATCGTCAAACTGATATATAGTCACATCTGAAGATCATCTAACCGATATATAGTCACGTCTGAAGATCATCTAACCGATATATAGTCACGTCTGAAGATCGTCAAACCGATATATAGTCACGCCTGAAGATCATTAAACCGATATATAGTCACGTCTGAAGATCATCAAACTGATATAGTCACACCTGAAGATCATCAAACGATATATAGTCACGTCTGAAGATCGTCAAACCAATAGTCACGTCTGAAGATGGTCAAACTGATATATATTGTCACGTCTGAAGATCATCAAACCGATATATAGTCACGTCTGAAGATGGTCAAACTGATATATAGTCACGTCTGAAGATGGTCAAACTGATATATAGTCACGTCTGAAGATCGTCAAACTGATATATAGTCACGTCTGAAGATCGTCAAACCGATAGTCACGTCTGAAGATCGTCAAACTGATATATAGTCACGTCTGAAGATGGTCAAACTGATATAGTCACGCTAGTACGTAGAGTAATACTGATAGATCGTCAAACATATAGTCATGTCCAAAGATCATCAAACCGATATAGTCATGCCTTTTGATTGTTAAACTCCTGTATGTCGGTTCGACGATCTTCAAGTTTTACTCTACAGTAGTTTGATGATTTAAAATTCTAAGATCATCAAACCGCAGTAAAGCTTAAAGATATAACTGATATAGTGATGTATGAAGATGGTAAAACTGCTGTAGTCACCTCAAAATCATCAGTGGAGTATAGACACACCTGAAGATGAGAACACCGCTATATAGACTGTTGGACGATCTTCAAGTGACTCTGCATTCATACCTGAACTCGTCACACCAGCGCCGCCAGTGGACACTCTGCGTACAGCAGGTGCAGGAGGCTGCAGTGTGGTGAAATGTAAATACATTTGTTCCTATATTTAATAATGTACAATTTGTTTCAATAAGTCCGTATGATAAATATGGATGTTCATAGCAGTTTATAATGCTGTCATGTTATTCACTCAGTTCCTGTTTAATGTTCTCTGCCTGTTATTCTGTCTACATATTCATCCATCTCTGTTCATCTGTCAGGTTATTCTCACTCATTTTTGATAGAGTTTTATATGTAATGGATTACAATAAACCAGAGATGGTCAGCTGTTCAACAGGTTCATGATTATATATGATCACCGTCATCCACACACTGTCTAACATTGCTCAGACTTCAGCAGTACAGAGGGAAACACTGCAGAACTCATGCTCAGGTTAAGCGTCAGGATAACTGATGCTCCCGGATATTCAGCGGTTAATAATATCTGCTGTCCGAGTTATGTTTGCTTTGCCTGTATGAAGATGAAACCTCGTCCATGATTCTAGAGAACTGCAGTTGGACTCGAGACTGATGTGAGCTCCTGTATAAAATGGAAAATCCACAACTATAATGGAAAGTGTGTGTGTTCTGCGTCTGTGTGTAACTCCTCTACTGTTAAATATGAGTTTGGATTGTTTTATGTGCTATTATATGACTGCACATGTGAAATGCACAATGCAGTTTAATCCAAGACATTTATACTGTTAATAAAGATTTCTATTATACACTCACTGGCCACTTTATTAGGTACACCTGTCTATCAGCTCGTTAATGTCTAATCAGCCAATCAGATGTAGACATGGTCAAGAGGATCTGCTGCAGGTCAGAGTGAGCATCAGAATGGGGAAGAAAGGGGATTTAAGAGACTCTGATCGTGGCATGGTTGTTGCTGCCAGACGGGCTGCTCTGAGTATTTCAGAAACTGCTGATCTACTGGGATTTTCACGCACAACCATCTCTAGGCTTTACAGAGAATGCTCAGACAAAGAGGAAATATCCAGTGAGCGGCAGTTCTGTGTGCGCAAATGCCTTGTTGATGAGGTCAGAGGAGAATGGCCAGACTGGTTCCAGCTGATAGAAAGGCAACAGTAACTCAAATAAGCACTCGTTACAACCGAGCTCTGCAGAAGAGCATCTCTGAACACACAACACGGCCAACCTTGAGGCGGATGGGCTACAGCAGCAGAAGAGCACACCGGGTGCCGCTCCTGTCAGCTAAGAACAGGAAACTGAGGCTACAATTCACACAGACTCACCAAAACTGGACAATAGAAGATTGGAGAAACGTTGCTGCTCTGATGAGTCTCCATTTCTGCTCACACATTCAGATGCTCGGCTCAACAACATGAAAGCATGGATCATCCTGCCTTGTATCAGCGGTTCAGGCTGGTGGTGGTGGTGTAATGGTGTGGGGGAGATTTTCTTTGGGTCCATTAGTACCAATTGAGCATCAACGCCACAGCCTACCTGAGTATTGCTGCTGACCATGTCCATCCCTTTATGAGCACAGTGTCTCCATCTTCTGATGGCTACTTCCAGCAGGATAACGCAGCATGTCATAAAGCTCAATCATCTCAGACTGGTGAACATGACAATGAGTTCACTGTACTCAAATGGCCTCCACAGTCACCAGAGCTCAATCCAATAGAGCAGCTTTGGGATGTGGTGGAACGGGAGATTGGCATCATGGATGTGCAGCCGACAAATCTGCAGCAACTGTGTGATGCTATCATGACAATATGGAGCAAAATCTCTGAGGAATATTTCCAGTAGCTTGCTGAATCTACAACACCAAGGATTAAGGCAGTTCTGAAGGTGAAAGAGGT